GGGTCGAAGCCAGGGGAGCAATCCAGGGGAGCAGGCGGGAGCACGTAGTCGGGCAGGCGAGGTCGGTACACGGGGAGGCAGGCAGGATCCAGAGACTGGCAGACAGATCTCAGGCAGGCGGACTAAACAGACAGGGAGTAGGCAAGCTCGGGAGTCGGAGTCAGGCGGGTCGTAATCAGGCAGACAGAAACAGGATAGATTGCTGGAAGTACTCACACGAAGGCTCGATACGTTCTGGCAACGGATTCAGACAGGCACGGTGAATATAAGGAGGTGGGAACAGGTGAAGGAGATGAGTGCTGATTGCAGGGTGAGTGGCTGAGCAGGTGTGCCGGTGGGGGTGGGGCCGGCTCCAGAGCCGGGAACATAACAGTAAGGCTTTATGCCTAAAAGCTTAGAGTTTGCATCAGCCAACCAACTTAGAATCATATTGTATATACTTGTCATAAAGCTGCATAATCTACACATTGAATGAATAAAAAAAAACGATTTTCTGGAGAAAAGCTAATGTCTGTAAAGTCATTTCAGGGTCTCGTTGTATTTTGGCAACATCTTGACAAGGAACAGATGCAGGCTACATGTTATTTCATGGGGTACTGTGAATATCCATCCATCCATCCATCCATCCATCCATCCATCCATCCATCCATCCATCCATCCATTGTCCACCGCTTATCCGAGGTTGGGTTGCGGGAGCAGCCACCAAAGCAGGGAAACCCAGACTTCCCATCTCCCCTTCCACTTCTGCCAGCTCCTCCGGGGGCGTTTCCAGGCCAGCCGAGAGACATAGTCTCTCCACTGTGTCCTGCGACTTCCCCTGGAACTCCTCCCGGTGGGACGTGCCCGGAACACCTCACCAGGAAGGCGATCAAGAGGCATCCTGATCAGATGTCTGATCCACCTCAACTAGCTCCTCTCAATGTGGATGAGCAGCGGTTCTACTCTGAGCCCCTCCCAGATGGAAGAGCTTCTCACCCTATCCTAACAGAGAGCCCAGCCACCCTGCGGAGGAACCCCATTTCGCCCGCTTGTATCCGGGATCTTGTTCTTTCGGTCACTATCCAAAGTTCATGACCATAGATGATGGTGGGAACGTAGATCGACTGATAAATTGAGAGCCCTTGCTTTTAAGCTCAGCTCTCTCTCCATCACAACAGACCAGTACAACACCCGCATTACTGCAGACGCCGCACCGATCTGCCTGTCGATCCCCGCTTCATTTTACCGCCATTCACAAACAAAACCCAGAGGTACTTGAACTCCTCCACTTGGGGAAGAGCATTCCCCCTGACTCGAAAGAAGCACATTACCCTTGTTTGGTCTCGGATTTGGAGGCACTGATCTTCATCTCAGCTGCTTCACATCTGGCTGTGAACTGCTCCAGCGAGAGCGGTATATAATGACTTGCTGAAGCCAATAGGGCCACATCATCTGCGAAAAGCAGAGATGCGATCCTAAGGTCACCAAGAGGGACACCTTCAACACCTTGGCTGCGCCTACAAATTCTGTTTATAAAAGATATGAACAGAGTCGGAGACAAAGGGCAACCTTGGTGGAGTCCAACTCTCACGGGAAACGAGTCAGACTTACTACCGGCGATGCGGATCTGTTGGTTCTGTTGAAATGTGCATATTGAAATTTAATGTATTTTTTCTGCACCCTTCACTTTTTATCTATCTAATTTATTTTGTTGATTCATTTTCTTTATTTGTTTTTCTGCTTTTAAATTCTGAGTAAAGCACTTTGAAATGTGTTGTGCACGAAATGTGCTTAAGAAATAAACTTGCCTTGCCAAGGTCCATTTAAGGTATCCATCATAAGGGGTCTTTGAGCTGTGCTTCGTCTGATCCCTCGCCTTGGACCTTTTTGCCTTTGGTGACCCTACCAGGGGTTTGAAGCCCCGGACAACATAGCTCCCAGGATCAATGGGACAGTCAAACCCCTCCACCACGATAAGTCGGCAGCCCAGGGAGGGGTGGTACTATGAATGTGATTTACAAAACTGATTTTGTGTAACCTACTCTGAAAGGCTCGGCGTTGTTGTTATTAAAACCCATGAAGCATAACGGAATTTGTACGCAATGAAAATAAGTATGGAAATGATTACCTGGGTGCTCAGTTGAACGTGTGAGTTTCTGTCCATGTTTGGAATCTCAAGGATTAGTGTTT